ATAAAAAATGATAATAATATATATAAACGGTGTAGTAATGATATAGAAAATTATAATCGAAGATGACGATATACATATTTTGTAAGAATAACAATAATAATAATAACAATAATAAATGTAATAAAGTAAAAATCTATTATCAATATACATTGTTGTAAATTGCATTTTCTGTGAAAAAGGATTATCAAAGTATTGATAAAGTATTGCCGGGATCGAAGTACACAAGGTGTTCAGTAAAAACATTTTTGTTTATTTTTTTAATTTTTTTTTTTTTTTTTTTATTTCCTAACAATTAATATGTTTCTGTAGGCAAATGTGTGTGTGTGTGTGGTGTGCATAGGCTCTCTATAAATTATAATTAAGCAAGAGAGATATAAAAAAAAATCACAAACTAATGAGAGAACGAATTAATTATTTTTATGGTTGATCACCATAAAAAAAGAAAATTTTTGTTATTTATCTGTTTTTTGAGAGATTAATTTTTTTTCATTTCGTTTTGATACTTTGCACGAACGCGTATAGATATTATAATAATTATAATAAGAATAATAATAATAATATTTACAAAATCTTGAATCTAATATAAACAAAAGCCAAATTATTATATCTATATAAATAATAGATAATCTTTAAATGAAAAATGTGATTACAAAAGTGTTTGCCGCATATTAATATAATAATAATAGTAGTAGTAATAATGATAACAATAATAATAAATGATAAACTAATCAAAATAAGTAAGCACCCTACTAAATATTAAGACTTGAAAATTGTATCTGTCTCCATATCTAAATACACGAGAATTTGTCCATTTTTCTTTTCGATTTTTCTCGTTGTTTTTTTTTTTGTTTTTTTTTTTGTGTCTTTTTTAATTTGGATATCAGTCATCGAAGCGTTCCTCGAATAATTTTTAAATCAGAAACGCTATTTAAACTTATCTTACATTAATGTCAGCGAATTACGTGTTCTCTCGATTAAAAAAAATCCGTTAATCTAGTCGAAGAGAAGACTAATTCTAAATAGTCTACATTTTAAACATTTTATATATATTCGTATATTAAAAAAAAAAAAAAATGGATATTAATAACTTCTAACAGATTTATAATTGCACGAAATGCTTTGATCGTTGGTTCCCTTATATTCGTAACTTCAATAACATATATTTCCTCTTGAACGAATAGTAAATTATTAATAATAATAATAATAATTATAATAATAATAATGATGATAATGATGATAATGATGATGATGATAATAATTAATGATGAATATAATATGTAAGTAAAAATCTGTTTGGTGGAGGGATGGAGTAATTCTTATTCCTATCACAGATTAGATTACCCCCGGACAGTGTGCAACGTAATAATATTAATAGTAATAATATTATTGATTGGTCAATTAATTTAAAAAAAAAAGAAAAAGAAAAAGTGTGGAAAAGAAAACTAAAAGCTATGTGATCTTTTAACCATTACATACTTAAACCATTCCACGTATCAGTCGATTAGATGGATTCTAATCTTACTCTTTTTAAAATTATAATATATATATATGATACATTTATTATTATTATTAAAATTGTCATACTCTTCGAAGAGATATCCAACGTCTATGTATTAGCATCGAAAAGGAACATAACTTTATTTTCTCCTTCTAATCGATAACACAATGGACGTAAGACACCTCTTTCGTGTTCATAATCACCCGCCAAGTCAGAAAACAACGTAACTTGCCTCACATCGCATAAAAAAAATATATAAAAATAAAAAAAAAAAAGTAAACATAAGAACCCTTCAAAAATTGCACCTTTTCTTTTTTTTTTTTTTCTATTCCTTATTCTCTCTACCTCTCTCTCTCTCTCTCTCTCTAATGTTCAAAAATCCAAGATGAGAGAATAAAGAAAGAAAGAAAAATAAAGAAAGTAATAAGCATTCCTGAAACGTTGAATCCGAGTTATTGGGTGTTTCCTTTTTTTTTCTTTTTTTTTTCTTTCTAATCTTTTATGATAGATAATTATTTAATAATTCTAACGCAGTCTCTCTCTCTATATATAATATTTACATATATATTTTAACTTTTTCTCTCTTGTATATTATGTATATCGTATATTTATATTTCTATAAAAAAAAAAAATAGCTGCACATGTCGACAAAATATACTAATATTTGTAAATAAATGTACGCGAGAGAACAATGAAACAAAAAAAAAAGAACCGACTAAACTCATCAAGAAAATCTGATTCCTTATGTATACCTAGCTTCTTTCTCATAGGGGGGGGGAGGAAAACTAAAAAATAATCTCTAATTTTTCTCTTTGAGTGACATTAAAACTCGATTCTATATGTCAACAGTGAAGTTGAACTTTGTTATCGTTCTTCTTCTTCTTCTTCTTCTTCTTCTTCGTGTACGTTCCACCGAAGAGATTTTCCCGAGATTATTACCAGACGAATTTCCGACCATTAGATGACCTTGAAACCTTCAGAAACTGGATGCTCGACCCAAATGTAACAATGTGGCACGCTGCAGTGGTTTTTCGATGCTCTTAGAGGCCGACTTAACGCAGCTTTCCGAAATCCTCGAGTCTCGTTGCAGCATGCCACCCTGAAGATGTTACACGATGAAGAACTATTTTCTTGTTCTTTGTTGTTTTTTTTTTTTATATTTTACTTTATTTTACTTTTTTTTTTTTAAGTTTTTTCCCCTCACTTTCTATTTCGCTATTCTTTTCGATACTTAATTTAGTATTTTATTTTTTTATTTATATCTATATATATATGTATATATAGATATACTTTCGTCTCATTCGTTTTTCGTTTATTTATCTTTTTATTTCTCTCGTTGTATTTCTCGATTATTTTGCTTATTTTTTATTTATTTTTTATAAGAGAGATTTAAGAGAACGTTACGGATCAAATTCTATTTGCATTTGTTTGCTTGTTTGTTTGATTGTTCTTTTCTACACCACCCCACATACCTACCCCTCTGCCCCATTTTCTTTACTTACTTAATTTCTAAGCACCTCCCTGACCCCTCACTTTCGTTTCCTTTTCCTTTTCCACGTTAATGAAAAATTGATGACGATTGTAATTGTTCTTAAGAACTTATCAATCGAATTTGTGTATTATTTTGTTTATTTGTTTAACGACAAAACTAGATCGAGAGTCTACGTGCGCACCTGTAGCAACATGTTGGCGAAATTGCTGTTAGTGAACTTGAAGTGACGTTTATCGTAAAATTTGAGTAAAGCTGGGCTATACGGGTGTTTGTCTTTTAGGTGAAGATAATGTACTTCCGGTTCTTGAGTAGTATGTCCACATTCTTCGCATACGTAAACCTTAAAAAAAAAAAGATGCAATAATTAAATCAGGACTCCCAATTTGATAGAAAAATAGATGAATTTGTTGTTTAATTTTGAATTAAAAAAAAGTGATGAGTTTTTGTAGAACTTCATTTTACCTTGGTACGTCTCTCCTTGTAAGCATACTGATGTTGAACACCATGAACCTTTAGACAATGACTTTCAAGAGAACATCTTTGAGTGAAACTCTTTTCACATAGATTACACTTGTACGGTCTCACTCCTGTATGCGTTCTCGTATGCCTTTTCAAATCAAAGGTGTCGTTAAATCCTTTACCACAGAATGTACACAGGTAGCGTTTAACATCACTATGGCATTTCATATGTCGATTTAAAAGCCGTTGCAAGTTAAATTGTTTGCTACAAACGCGACAAGTGAAGCGTATTGGTCCATCCTCCTAGGGGAAAAAAAAATAAATGATATGGTTACGTGTTATAAATAATTATGAGTTATGGATTATAAATGTGTACCTTTCCAGATGTTGGTCGTGCTGCTCTATCTTCTTCACGACTGGTAGTGGCTTGTCTTTGTCCTTCGATAGCTAATGGATTCTTTATACCATGACCACCATTAACGAATTCTAATTGACAGTCACCTGGTAATCCCAACTGTGGAGTAAAACATTGAATTAATCGATCGAAAGGTTAATTATTTAATCGAGACGAAGTGATACAGTAGGAAGCACTCAAGTTGATTGGCATTGCATAGAATCATTTAAATGAAATAAAAAACTGTAATGATCATATGTTAACAAATAAGATGCACAGAACAAATACTATCGAACAAGAATAATATCTACAACAGATATAATAAAATATAATATCACATATATAAATATATCACATATATTTGGAAACAGATTATGGGAAATATATATATGTATATATATTAACAGGATTAAAAACAAATTATGCGTTTGCCTGGATCAATTTGGTGGTGCTTACCCTTTGCTGTAGTACACCGACCCGTTGAGATAAAGGGGGTTCAGCAACTTGTCCGTTTACTTGAGTGTTCACACCGTTCGATACTCCAATTGGTGGACTTGGTGCATGTTCCATTAACGCACATGACGGAGATGTGCTGGTCGAAGCACCGTCCAAAGAACAACTTGTTGCACCGGGACTTGGTAAACTTCCACCGACGCTGCTACCGGAATCCAATTCCAAACCTTAAGAAAAAATAAATATGACCATTAAGTTTTAATCCTATGGATTAATTTTAATACGCATATAAATAAATATTTGTATGTATTTACACAAGTCTGTATTTGTAACTAACACCTAAACACTTACCACTAAATACATAGTGAAACTCACCGCTACCAACAAAACTGAGACCAGGGCTCAGCAATCCTTGATGCTGTTGCGAATGGTGGGGCGACATATTATTAGTTTGTTGCTGTTGTTGTTGTTGTTGTTGTTGCTGCTGCTGATGTTGCTGCAATTGTACTTGTATTTGCAATTGTTGCAATTGCGGTTCCGATTGATTCTGATGATTTTGATTTAAATGCAATGCCAATTCCGATCGCTCTTTCGCGATTGGTTGATAACCAGTTTCCCCAGTGGCATAGGTCAAACCAACCAGTTTAGTATTGAACTGTTGCTGTGTTCCATTATAATGCCTGAAACGTACCAAAACCGTAAGTTTTTCTTCGATGCGAGAACACCTTCACTAAGATAGTTGTGCCAAGACTCACTCACCTTGATGCATCGAAGCCTCTCGTTAAGGCTATATTATGCTCAGGAAAAGGGTCTACGCTGGGTTCGACGGGCGTGGTCATTTGACCTGCATCTTGAACTATGCCACTCCCAGCCGAGGCTGGCGAATGTAACGAGTCCTCGAGTAAATCATTCCCTCCTTCTCCTGATTGTAATTTAGGTAATAGAAATTCAGCCGCGTCGCTAAGACTTTCCAACAATGCCGTATGATCAGACGGCGAGCTGAAGGTCAATGTAGCTGTTATTTGTAATGGATCAACAACTGCACCTGTCACCATGTCGACCATCATTCCGTTTTCCGTAACGTCGTATGTATTATATTGACCGGATAATAAATCATTCGGTTGGATCTTATAAGCAGAAAGATCCTCTTCTTCTTTAAGTGCCAAACCATAGGAGGCACAAACATTTTGCAATAACGAATATTGTTTGCCTTCCTGTGCATTGTATTGAGCATGCTGCGAGTTAACATCTTGTTGTCCCGTATCGCATTCCATTCCTATTGCTGGGGTCGGCGTGAGGTAGTTATTACCTGAGAGATCAAAACACACCGTGAGAAATCAGTTATGGGACATAATATACCTGAATAGAAATTTTCTAACGTACCTTGACTGGTGGTATATTGGTTCGCAAAATTCGCCAGGTTGTTACCACCTTTGAGAGACTCGTAAAATGGTGGTAATGAACCCGTAGGTGGTGAACTTGGGGCATAATTACCTCGACCCCCATTACCACCAGGATTCATTCCACCCCCACCAGCACCGCCACCCACAGCACCACCTCCCCCACCGGAAGATCCACCTCCGGAATAACTACAGGAATTACCCGTGTTCGATGATGAAGACGAGCCCGAGGAAGACGAATTATTACCGCTTGAACTAGAATTTGAACCGGAAGAGCCATTATTGCCAGAGTTAGAGGTCCTCCCAAGTCCTGCCGCTGTGTGAACAATTTGTGGCCCAGAAAGCCTCATGGCCAATAGTGGTCTGGCAATAGAATTACATATGGTTCGTGATGCTTTTGCGGTCTCGCGACCTCTCTCATCGTCTTCTTCTTTTCTTTTCGGTACGGCATAATCTATTGGTTGATCCTGAACAAAAACATATATTAACAATTAACATTAGTTTTCTTATTTTGTCGTAGGAATGAAATTAATTATAAAAGAAGATGTTATGCGAGTTAAGTTATTTTCAAATTAATTAGTAATGTTAATAAACGCAAAATTGCTTTTTTCTTTTTTTCAAAATTTGATTTTTGATACAAATTTACTTATCGAATTAGCCCCGTAAATCTTTTGAAATCTTCATAAGTATAATACGAAATATATACGTAAGTATGCATATACATATATATATGTAAAAGAAACCAGTTTTTTCCGAGTGGACGCACCTGCTCAGGCTCCTGACTTTGAGGAACTTCGATCTTCTCTTCTCTTCTGGAGTTACCTTGACTCTGATGCGGTACCCTCTGAATCACTGAAACTCTGGTCGGTGGTTCGACACGTGGAACCTTGGGTGGGGTGGGTGGCCTCGGTAATACGAGTTTTTCCGTTTTTGTAATAAATTGCGGTGCATCTCCGGAAGGTGTAGGAATGATCGGTGGTGAACTGTATTCTTTACGTTCAGCACGTGTTAATACGTGACCCCTGCTTCCATATGGTACATCTCCACCAAGTATACTTGAAATAAAACGTCTCGGTGGTGTATTGGATGGTGTGTTGTTTGTTGATTGACATGGTACCGGTGGTGGCGATGGTACTGGACTACTGCTTCTTAATGATTCCGGAGTAGTAGCACGATCGTCCTCAGTTTTATCGCGATCTATGGATCAGTAAAAAAATCAATTTGACTTTGTTCTTTCTTTCTTTCTTTAATCTTTCTTTCTATCTTTCCTTCAAGGTTTTTACGACCGTATCGTACGGAATAACGATGAGGATTGGAGTACCTCGTAACGTACACGTCTGTATGGAGTTTACGAGCGACCTTGAAAATCCGCGAATACCGTAAGGTGGTGACTAGATATGTTTTCTTTTTTTTTTCTTCTTCTTTTTAAATAAACCTGACCTTCTTCTTAGGAACGTTTTATCTTTTTCTTTCAGTTTTATTATAATAGATTTATTGTTTTGAAACATTTATTCTTATATTCTCTTCTCTTTTACATTATATTTGATTTTCTTTTTTTTTTTTGTTTTTGTTATATATCTTATACCGGTAGACATTGATGGGCGGCGAATATAATTCCAAGAATGGTAGACAAATATTTTTGGGTACACTCGGACAGAAAATATTATACCATGCTATATGATCTTATATGATGCAGTATATTTGTGTATATATATATATATATATATAT